TATCATCTTGCCGCTAGCTGCGGCCAGCAGATAGCAGTGTTTTTACCTCCTGCTATACGTTTTCAATCGCTGTTTTCAGCGTCACCGTTCTGCACCACCTGGTGCCGGTGATTTTTTGTTTCCGTTCTACGCTTGTGCTTCAGTTGCGCAGCAGAATTTTCTCAAGTGTTCATCCATGGCGCCTGGCGGCATCATGGGGCCATCTTCGGTCGTCCAAGGGCTCTCTTGGGATCGTCTTGGGGCCCTGCTGGGCTGTTAGGGGGCTCTCTTGGGCCGTCTTCAGGTCCTCTCGGCTCGTCTCAGGTCGATCTCAGGCGGCTCTTCCGCAGTCCCGGGCTCCGTAAGGCCGAAGAATCGGCAATCTAAAAGGTTGCGGAACCATACCCGAAATCATTGAAACGTGGATTGGAAGGGCGTCCAGGATTGCAAAAAAAACATGGTTTTTTTTGCAATCCTGGGTTTTTTTGCAATCCTGGTTTTTTTGTTTGCAATCCTTCGTATTCTCCTGGCTTCTCTTTGGAGCAAGTCTCGGCGGGCCTTCCGGGCGCGCTCCTGGTCCGCTTTTTGTGCCCGCTGTCTTTGAGAACAGCGGGGCCGTCCTGGAGACCCCGGAGGCCGAGGGAACGCTCTGCCAGGGCGGCCTGGCCTCCCTTTGGGGGCCCCCAGGCCCCGGAGATCCTGGAGATCCGGTGCTGCGGGGGGGCATAATCTAAATATGAGAGAGAGAGATAGGAACAAAAGAGAGAGAGAGAGAGAGAAACAGCAACAGCACTAACAATATAAGTATACGTACAAGTGTAAGAATTAGTGTACTAACAAGTATACGTATAATAACACTCATACGTATAAGTATACGTATACGTATACGTATACGTATACTTATACGTACAGCAATCAGTATTAGCACAAGTATACGTATCCGTATAAGCATACGTATCAGTACAGGTATACTGATACGTATACGTTTAAGTATAAGTACAAGTATACGTATACGTATGCATATAAGTTCAAGTATACGTACACGCATAAACATACGTATGGGTATACGTATAAGTATGCATGTAAGTATCAGTACAACGTAAGCTAAGATGTAAAGTGTAACTATACGTATAAGTGTAAGAAGTTGTAGTTTCAGGTTACGTTTCAGTTTAAGTGAGAGTGTAAGTATAAGCATAAGTATCAGTATATGTATACGTAGAAATGTACGTATACGTATAAGTATAAGTGTATATTGTGATGGCCTTTGGCCAGTGCCGCCGATCCGGGGGGCTCCGGATTCGGTGATCGTCGCGGCCTTTGTGGCCTCCTCCCTCCTCGATTATTCCGGTCCTCTTTCTTCCCCCTGGTTCTCGTTATCCTCTGCCTCCCGCTGACCCCTGCGATTTTGGGGTCAGCGGGGACGTTTTTTTGGAGCTGACGTGCCCTGTTTGGGAGGGAGGACGCTCTTGGAGTCGTCGGTGACGCTTTTTGGAACTGGCGTGCCCTCTGGGGGGGGCCTGGAGAGGGGAGGTTCCCGGGGGCGTTGGCGGCTAGATCTGAGGGGGGTCCCTGGGACCCCCCGGAGCTTCTTGGGGATGCGCAAATCGTGAAGCAAACGCCAAGTGGGGGACCGCCCCCGCCCCCCCCCTTCCCCGGACCGGAGAAAGTCCTGGGGGCGGTGGCGGCTGGATATGAGGGGAATGCGCAAACCATTCATAAAACGCCAGATGGGGGACGGCCCCCCGCCCCCCCCTTTCCCCGGCAGGGCCACCCTGGCGACCCCCTCGAAGCTGAGTTGAAGCTCTTGCTTAGGCTCAGAGCTGAAGCTCTTGCTGCAGCTCCTTGTAGACGCCGGATCGGCGGATCACACACACACGCGCACACACATACATACATACATACATACATACATACATACATACATACATACATACATACATACATACATACATACATACATACATACATACATACATACATATCATATATATGGGCGCTGGCCTATTCCCCCCCCTGCTGGAATCGATGGTTGCTTTTTTCCAACTAAACGGACGACGTACCACGCGACCCATGAGCGACCACGACGTCGCGCGCGGGCTCCCGAGCAAACCTTCGATGACGACCTGCAAAAACAACAGAGGTAGTGTACACTGCGAGCAGCAGATGGAACTGAGCAGACATGAAAAAAAAACCGCGCGACCCATGAGCGACCACGATGTCGCGAGCCCCTGAGCCAGGGCCCCGCGCAGGAGCCAGCCTGAGCAGGCCTCTCCCCTCCAGACCCAGGGGGAAGGGGGATGCGGGAGTGGTCAGGGCACCTCCTGCTTACAAGGCGCAAGCCGTCTCGCTCACTCACACCGCCCTCCAATTACATAACCTCAGGAAGTCTTTAGTTTCGGGTCCCACCCACCCCTGCTTCTCTCGGCGGGAAATAAGCTCCGCCCCGTCCTCCTCCTTCTGATCCTCCTCGAGTACTACTACCGCTACTAAGACTGTTATTGCTACTGCTATTGCTACTGCCAGCGCCCCTGTTATTATTATTGCGACGACTACTGCGAGTACTATTACCACAACCACTACGCCTTCTACTACTACTACTACTACTACTACTACTACTGCTGCTACTGCTGCTACTACTGCTACTACTACTACTACTACTACTACGGCTACTACGACTACTACTACTACTGCTGCTGCTACTACTACTACTACTACTACTACGACTACTACTATTACCACTGCTACGATTGCTACGACTACGTCTGCGACTACTACTACTACTACTACTACCACTACTACTACTACTACTACTACTGCTACTACTACTGCTACTACTACTACTACTACGACTACGACTACTACTACGACTAGTATTACGACTACTACTACTACTACTACTACTACTACGACAAGTGCTCTTGCTTTTGCTATTCTTACTAGTACTACTACTGCTACTGCTACTACGACGGCTAGTGCTATTGCTGCTGCTGCTACTACTACTACTACTAGTGCGATCGCTACGATTACAGCTACGGCTGCGACGACGACTACTGCGACTACTGCTGCTACTACCGTTACTAAGACTGTGATTGGTACTGCTATCGCTACTGCCAGCTCCGCTGCGACTATTACTGCGACTAGTTTTTTCTACTTCAACTGCCACTACGCCTATTGCTATTCCTACTACTACTACTACTGCTACCACGGCTGCTGTTAGCACTGCCGCTACTACGACTACTTCTACTACCACTGCTACTACTACTACTACTACGACTACTACTATTACTACTACTACTACTACTACTACGGCTACTACGACTAATACTACTACTACTACTACTACTACGACTACTACTACTACTACTACTACTACTACTACTACTACTACTAGTACTACTACGACGACTACTACTACTACTACTACTACTACTACTACTGCTGCTACTACGACTGCTACTAATACTACGGCTACTACTACTACTACAGCTACTGCTACTTTTGATGCTATCCTAGTGCGATTACTGCTGCAACATTAACTGTTGCGTGCGCCCTTTGTTATTATTATTTCTGCTGCTACGACCACGACGATTATTGTATTAATCTGTACTACCACTCGTATAATCACTTAGATTTTGAGTACTTTTACGGCTATTGCTAGTACTACTACTACTACTACCGCTACTACTACTTCTGCTACTACTACTTCTACTACTTTTCATACTACTACTAGAACTGCTACTATCGCGGTTACTCGTACCCCTATTATTACGACTAGTATTACGATTAATCGTATGAGTGCTAACACATGTCCGAAACCAACGAACATGAACAACTACTAATGTTATTATTACGGCGACTTCTACCATTACTACGGCTACGATTACGCATACTGATCTCACTAGCTTTATAGTAGTATTACTACTAACATTACTATTTTATATTACTCGTACTACTACTACTACCACCACTACTACTACTACTACTATTACTACTACTACTACTACTACTACTACTACTATTACTATCAGTAGTATTGCTATTACTCCGAAGGGGGGGGGGATGAGGGAAGCATGGGGCGTAACTAGTGATTCGTATATCGACTATACTACGACTACTGCGACGGCAATCATTTGCATTATCACTACTATTTCTCTTACTTCTATTATTACTAGTACTACTACTACTACTACTACTACTACTACTACTACTACTACTGTCACGACGGCTAGTCTTATTTCGGCTATTCCTATTATTACTACGAATACTACGATTACAACGGCTACGACTGCCAATGCGACTCCGGCAACGACTGTGGCTGCTAAAATTCTTGCCACCACCGCTACTTCCATTACTACCACCACTACAGCTGCTACTAGTATACTACTATTACTACTTCTACTACTATTACTACTACTACTACTACTACTACTACTACTACTCCTCTGATTTTTCACCACTACTACTACGATCACTACCACGACTACGACCACTACGACTGAAACCGCTGCGACGACGACTACGGATACGACTATTAGTACTACCACTACGGCTTCTATTAGTACGATTACTGCTACTACTACTTTCATCGCATTATTAATAAAAACAATTCGTACTACTATTATTACTACAACTACTACTACTACTAGTACCACTTCTGCGACTGCTACTACTACGACGGCGACTACTACTACCATTACTACCACTACTACCTCTATTACTATTACGACCACTGCTCCGACTACTACAACTTTTTCGTTCTACTACTACTAGTACCTTTACTACTACTACTACTACTGCTACTCTCACAAGTAGCATTACTGCTACCATTGATACTAATGCTGCTACTAGTACGACTACACATATTTTTTGTATGTCTACGACTAGTACTAGCACCATTATTACCACTGCGATTACACTTCCTTCGATTATTATTACTACATTTACTATTTCGACTAGGTCGTATTAGTTTTACTACTCGTACTTTTTCTACTACTACTACTACTACTGCTACTACTACTACA